CCCCCCCCCCCCCCCCGCCGTTAGGGGCTACAAAAAAAAACGCAATGCTACCCCTAATTCCCTAACCCCAAACCCACAACCCTGAGAACACAAGACCCAAAACCGTTAACCTAAACCCCAGACCCACGTCCAAGACCCTAGACCCTAGACCCTAAACCCTGAGCCCAAAACCCCCAACCCTAAACCCCCGCCGCCTCACCGGTGAAGCTGTCTGCTCGAGTGGCGATGCCACAACGAAGCTGAGCGAACCGAACGTCGCCCTTGGAGTCTTGTATTCGGCTTTCGGGTTTAGGGTTTAGGGTTTAGGCTTTAGGGTTTAGGGTTCAAGGGATACTACAAGGGTCTTTTGGGGATTTAGGGTAGAATAGGACCTCTTATGGGGGTTTTGTTTTGCGTTACTATAAGGGAAACAATAGTATAGGGGTTGCCACTCCCCCCAATGTTAACCCCAGAAAACCCTCAAAGACCCTTGCAAAACCCTTCTAAATCCTAAACCCTACACCCTAAACCCTAAACCAAAACCCTCAACTAAAACCCTTCTAACGCCCCCAAAACCCGAAGGGGCGGATGTGTCAGCAACAGGAAAAGTGAAACCCTGACAGCCAATATGCGCACAAGTCGAAACCCTAAGTCCTAAAGCTTAAAACTAACACCTAAATCCCAAACCCTGACCCCTAAACCCTAAACCCTAAATCCCAAACCCTAAACCCTAAACTCTAAATCCCAAACCCTAAACCCTAAACCCTAAACGATAAGTCCCAAACCCCTAAACCCCTAATACTTGGAGGTTCCTGGGTGGTTATAAGTGGGGTTATAAGTAGGGTAACTATAATTATAACCCATATTAGGGGACTTATAACCCTGCTTATAACTACCCATGAACCTCCAAATAAAGCGAAGCCGGGGCTCCCTTGATCCTCCACATCGGCCTGCAGTTCGCCCGTGAGGGCCTCTACCTCAGCGCTGGGCCGTGGGATTTAGGGTCGCTTGGTGGCATCATCGCTTTTGGGGTTTAGGGTTTAGGGTTAAGGGTTTGGGATTTAGGGTTTAGGGTTTAGGGTTTTGGGGTTTCGGGTTCCGTTCAGGGTTCCTCTGCGGGATTTGAGGAAGCCAAGAGATCTCCCCAAGCGCTGCTCGCAGTAAAGACTTTAATTTGAGGGTCGTCATGCATGCGCTCCATGCATCCTATCCCTAAACCCTGAACCCTGAACCCTAAATATTCCGGCACGCGGCATCGAAACTATCCAGCATTCTCGTGGCCTCGGCTTCTGTCCGGTGCCTGCAGGAGCATGGTTCCAAAAAGGGCACCCCATGAAAGAACCGAAGACAACTGTTGATGATATAAAGCCTGCATGACCCATAATAACGAATATACCACAATTCCCATAGTTTTGGGTCCTTAAGGTACTGCAGGATTTATATCATCAACAGTGGTACCCGAGGGAACCCTACTATAGAACCCCTCACTGCCAATATGTAAACAAGCCCGGATCTATGAAAAAGATGCATCGGCTAATGCAGAAGCACGACATGCAGACAGGCAACAAGACATATACCAGAATCGATGTTTACACATTTAGGGTCTTAGGGTTTAGGGTCTTAGGGTCTTAGGGTTTAGGGTTTAGGGGTTTTACACAGTGCATGCATGTAGTTTGCAAATTCGTTTTCGTAAAGCAGATCCTGTGGGCTTTTCAATATTCAGGGTTTAGGGTTTAGGGTTTTTAGGGTTTAGGGTTTCGGGTTTAGGGTTTAGGGTTAGGGTTAGGGTTAAGGGTTTAGGGTTTAGGCTGTGCTTATTCATGGGGCCTATGCTGCTGGACAAAAACCCTGCAGGAATTACAGCATGCTTCCCATTGGGACTTGTTTTAGGAGCTTGCTGATCTTGCGCTGCTCAAAAATCCTAAACGCTAAACCCTACTTGTAGACCCCATAACAGCCCTAAGAGCTGCAATCTCCTAGACCTTAAGCCCTAGCTTCTCGTGGGCTGAAGAAGGAGACTCGGCTTTGGGAAGGCAAGTGCTGAAGGCCCTGTGTCTGGAGATTTGGGGCTTTGGGGTTAGGGTTTGGGGGTTTGGGTTTAGGGTTTAGGGTTTAGGGGAGGTCATGGGCTTGGAGTTTGAGCCTTGGGTCTAAGACATATTGGTCCAGGATGGGTGAGGGTCAAAGCTAAAGCTCTTCTGGGACTTCGAGATCCTCAAACCCTAAGCCCCCCAAATCGGCCCAAGCCCCTAAAACCCTAAAACCTACTAAACCCGAAACCGTACCGAAAATCTAAACCCCCACCCCTGAACCACCAAACCCCGAAACCCCCCAAAACCCTAAACCCTAAACCCCTAAACCCCAAAACCCCGAAACCCTAAACCCCTAAACCCTAAACCCCTAAACCCTAAACCCCGAAACCCCCCCTAAACCCTGAAGCATAGCTGAGGCCTCAACCCTGGAACCCTTTGCCCAACCCCTGGGCCCTGAAACCCTCAGTTCCCCAAACCTGAACCCAGGGCTCCAAATGGGTTTTGGGTTTAAGGGTTTCGGGTTTCGGGTTTAGGGTTTCAGGTTTAGGGGTTTAGGGTTTAGGGGTTTAGGGATTCGGGATTCGGGTTTAGGGTTTAGCGTTTTGGGGCCCCATCCCAAACGTTAAACTTGTAAAAGTGCAGGGGATTAGGGTTTGGGGTTGGGCTTATGTACCCGGGTCATGGGGCTTAGCTATGAGGGCTGTAAGTATGGTAACTATGCTTAAAGTTGCTTGTAACCCCAGTTAAGTTAAGGTACCTCTAACCTTACTTACTAAATCCCATGATCCTCCAAGTAGGGTTTGCGTTTTTCTGACACCCAAATCCAGTTACACCAGCATGAAATGCAGACATGCATGTCACAAAGTCCCGAATTGAGGGGCCCAAATAAAATTACCACTACTATTTTGGGGCTCCTTGTTATAGTTACACTAATAATATACTACCAAAACCCGTATTCTAGTTACTCTAGCTGCAGGTGTTAGAGCTCCCGGGTTTTGGGGTTTAGGGTTTAGGGTCTAGGGGTTTGGGGTTTTGAAGGCAACGCTGTGCTGTCAACTCGGGGCATGCAACGCTTGCGCACACCTTTGACTCAAGACCCATCCCATGTTTCGAGACTTTCCGT